ATTTAATGTATTATACTTGTTAATTGCTATACTCTATAATATTTAGGCATATGTTTATTTACCAGATTTTAAATTTGATTAATATGTAATATTAAAGTTGTATTCATAAATTAACGGTGTATAAAACATTTAAGTTAATTATTAATTCGATATTATATCTAAAATATTGTAGAGCTACGAAGATGTATTTTCAAATTGAATATTTAACTAGAAAGTAACTTTTTCGTTCCATTTCAAGAGATTTTCTACGATATAAAAACAATTTCATTAATATTTTAAATATTGACATAGTGAAAAAATTGTTCATTGTTCTAGATATTTACTACTTATACAATATGAATATTATAAATTAAAATATAATCATCTCATAAAATATAATTATTTAATGTTATGTTGATTTTAACAAGTTTTGTTTATAATTAAGTTAATACCCATAATTTAATTTTTAATCAACATTTTTGATGAGTACTCTATACATCGATCTACTTATTTTTAAATAAATGGAGATAATGGTGTTTATAACAATGTTTCTATTAATTGACTCAGGGAAAATAATTTAGAACTTGATAGTTAAGTAAAAATAATTTAAAAAATTACGAATTGTATATTCATTTTTTAGTTTGGTTCAAAATTTTGAATCCGAATTGCTAAGCTGACGTCAGCCTAGCACTCATAAAAGAAAAAAAAATGATAGTTAAGATTTAGGTTACACATTCCGACTTTATGATTACAATTACAAATTATTACAAATTATTAATTCAATTAAAAAAAACAAAAATGTGCTACATTTTACTTTCAGGATTCCAGGTTGACTGATCTATTTATTGTTATCATCGAATATACATAATATGGTCACTAAGAATAGGTAAATTGTGCATATTTGTAAATGTTATACATTATTGTAACCGGTGTATGATATATGCTATAATGATACCGGTCAGACTTGCGTTCTACATTATAATACAAATCTCCGCTTATATAGTCGGTGGAAGGTTAGTAGTAACTCCATTGTACGCTTTTCAACGTTTTCCTAAAAGATCATATATTATATGTGTAGTGAATGTTAGTTGAAAGCCTTCAAGTGATTCGGACAAGGTGTGATGAATAATATTTTGTATTTTTATTTTTAATTCAGTTACAATGTTAAAAATACAATTTGAAAATTTAAATTTATATGTATTTAAATCTGAAGCATATTTATATAAGTCGAAATGACGTACCTATATGAGTTCAATTATGTTTACGCGTACCTTACTGCATCAAAGTAACACAACACTATAATGCTATAGTAAACTGTACTGGTTGATGGTTTTTTTTAGTATTAAAAAAATTTAAGATCTACAAAGAAAGAGGGCTCGTTAAATGCAATAACTTTGTTTAATTTGAAACAGAGCTTTTGAAATAGAAAAGAACATTATATCTGAAAGTGCCTTAACTATTGCAAAAGTTAAAAATAAGTTCTGTAGTTTTATAAGTTTTATATAACTGTTTTATTTTCTCATATTTAATGAATTGTGTCGATTATAAATTATTCACGATTCTAAATAAATATAAATAAAAGATGTATACATATTGACGTAAGAGAACTAATATTTATTAGTATTTTCTAATACAAATTATAATTTACTTGTAGTAAATGACATTGTTTTTATTCATTTGTTTCTGTTAAGTCTGTTAATATAACTATATATTCATCAATATTTAGTCTGATGATAAAAAAATTATCATTATAATATGTAATAATATAGGTAACTTGTATTATAGAAACTAAAAACGCTAATAAATTCTTTTGTAAAATAAAACGATTTATCGATTCCAATATTTTGATTAAGATACAAAGCATTCTATTTTCGAAACTGTCACTGAAGATAGTCCTCTTGATAAGAATTAAATGAATAGATTGGACTATTGAATGTGTGTTTCGTCCAAAGATGTTCTTAGAGTTATATAGTTCTTTAAATACCTTTAAATACGGAAAAAATAATGATCCCATACCAAAAAATAAATGTTCCGGATTATTGATCAATATTGACTGAATTCGTGTTAGTAACGAATGTAATATTGTACGTATATATATATATATATATATATATTGTAATATATTGAGTATTGAGTATTGACAAGTGGTAGTTCGAAAAATATAACAAAAATTAAATTAGTCTTGTGATTTATTATATTTTGGTTAATTTATTATAATATTTTTTCTGTGAACGTTGAGTTATGCATTATTAATAAATTAATGGATATAACATGATTAAAAAATAAAATTGTAATCTATTAATAAAATGAAAATTGTTTGAAAAAATTTAATAAAAAAAATAATTGTAGTAATAAATGAGACATGTATTTCGTTATAAATTGTTAAATTAATGTAATTGATTCACCAGAAATGAAAAGAAAATATCTTAAGCGATTTTAAACCTGTTTTTATTATAATACAATAATAAGGCACTTCTTTTACTCATCAAAAACCTTTGACGCAAAACGATCGGTGGCCATGTGCAATAGATAACAATATAGTTCAATACTTTTTTCTTCCAATATAAGTTTGATGTTAAATATTATGGTAATGTATTAACACAGGGTAAGGACATACGATTTGATAATATAAAACATTTTTTTAAATAGCTTATAGTTTAACAATCCATACAATCTTGACGGTGTTACTGAAAATGAAATATTCATATACTGAGCCAGTAGAGAAATAAACAGACGACTAAAATAATATAATCACAATATTTCAGAACAATGGTGCTTCGTGTAATAGCATAATCACATAATAATAATAATAATAATAATAATAATAATAATATTATTAATAATTATTATGATATCAAGTAAAATTGTAATAGCAGTAGGTAATACATAGAATAATTTGCAAGAATAAAGATTTCATCATCATCTCTCACTACGTTAATTAAGATTAATGATCTCAAAAAATGTTAGTGTTATTAGGTTTGATTTGAAAATAATTATTTCACGTCATTAAAATATAAAATTCAAAAAAATAATCTATTTTCTAACTTTTTTTATTTTTTTAAAGACAACATATTAAGTATTTTCAAAACAAGCTATAAAATTAAAAAAATGAACAGTAATTCATACAAATAAAAAATTAAAATAAAGTAATGATTAAATAATACGGTAAAAAGTTTTTGGTCTTTATTGACTTTAAATTTCGTAAAAAAACATTTTCAAAAACGTTAATAGTTTTTTAAGATAATTAGTATTTACTGTTAAAAAGAATTATCTTTTATAATAAATGAATATTAATGCTTTTATTATTAATAACTTGTTTTAATGTACTAAAAAATAATGTTGGTGTTAAAGATAAATATTCTTTAGACCTTAATAATGGTTTTACATATAATTTAAGATATATAGTCTAGTGTATTTATTTTATCCTAATACTTCTAAATAATTATTAAATTTTAAAAATAAATAATAATACTAATGAAATAATAAAATATACTTATACAATTAATAATTATTAACATTTTCAAACAATCATAACCTTCATACCATAAAAGTCTTTTAACAGTAATATAAAAAACATATTATTAACGAGAATTTTGTAATTTAAATTTAGAAAATTGTTTTCAAAAACATCGTCTGATTAAAAATTTACAGCAAAAAAAGGGCGGTATTTATTTGAAAAAATAACTTAGCATCCCTAAGTCATACTTTTTAAATGGTAAAAAAATCTTCATTGATATTCTAAAATATAATCTTTAAGTATAATTTAAAATTCCAAAATCATATTAATGGTAAAAATCTAAAATAAATAATAATTACTAATAGTATTAACAAATAGTTCATCTCGTTAATGTGTAATAATATAATAATAAGGAATGAATATCACAATTTATGTACTAAATTTTTTAGTAAAAAAAAAAAATTTACTAATTGTATATTCGTATCAAAATAAAAAGGAATGTTAAAATATAGAGTGCAGCCTGGCTTTAATAGTTACTCGTAGAAATACCATCTATACTTAATTAACATATATAGTTAAAATGTTTTTTTTTTCATTGAGTTATTATCAATTTTTAAATACATGGTAAATATATAATGTATATATATATATATATATATATACATATATTATATTATATTAGGTTCTTACCACTATGTAAAATATACATTTAATGTGTCTATATATTTATTATTTATGAAATTCAGTATTATAATTTATTTGTTAGATAATTTTAAAAATGATCCAGTAGATAAAAAATAAATGTTCTATCAAAAATATGTCAGTGAAGTCAAGCTTAATTATTGCAATATATAATATTGTAAAATGTTTAATTGAAATTTAATTTAAAATTGTTCATTTTTACCAAAAAAAAAAACAAAAAAAAAAATTAAAACCAAATGAAAATTAAATATTTTTTCATAATATACACGGGAATGTACTATAATATTATAAATTTATAGTTATGTCAATTCTGGTAATGATAAAATAAGATATAAAAAAAATAATATTTTTGGACATCTCTATGTGTCAATCCTAAAATGTAATTATAATGTATAATTACCTTGTCTCTCGATTGAACCAATTAATTAAATTGTTAGTTAAATAAATAGGTTAGCAAATCTTTAGTGGAGAATCGGCCGACCGCTGACTTTCAATGTGGGTGACCCCACGTACCCCCTAGATCTGGAATGATTGATAGCACACATACACCCGCGCTGTGCCGTATATAATAATATGTATCGTATTATTGTTATTGTAATACCTAGGTATAATATTATGATACATATTATTATTCTTGTACCTAGGTATAAGAACAACTCGTCTGACGGTACATCCCCGTCGGCGCGGCAGCGATGAATGGTACACGCGTTGAATGCCGTCGCCGCATCAACGGATGACGACGAAGTCTCCGCGCGCGCTGCCGCCGCCGTCGCCGCCGACGCTGCCGAGCATACACGACGACCACTGCGCGGATACGACCGGGTCGGGTGGTTAGAACAGTCATCTGGCGACCGGTGTTCGATGCACATTGCCGTTGTCTTTGTCTCTCGTGTGTGCGCCATGAGCGCGTGTGTATAATAATATATTATAATAATAATAATAATATATGTGCGTCGTCAAACCACCACCGTTGTGGCCTTTTTGCGTCCAACAATTATACGTAATAATTTCCGGCGATTAAAACGGTTCCGATTTTCGTCGTGTGTTTCTTCCACTCTCCGTCCTATACCACTCGTGATCTAGAAACCGTTTGGACTACCTTCCTGTGATCAATTCTAGACGGTAATACGTGACGTGTTCGGCTCCGGAGTGATGACTTGATTACCCACGAGGGGCTTTTCGCTTTTCGCGTTCGTTTTTTTTTTTCGTTTAAAAACATATCTTTATTTTTTTGCAAACGATCGGTGTGTTGTATTATTGTTATTTTTTTTCTTTGGAATTTTAAGTTTTTATTTCTTTTCGTCGAAAAACATCGGGTAGGTCGCGTGCGACATGAAGACGACTGTGCTCGTGATATGCGTACTCGGGTGTTTGCTGATCGTCACGGCTCGCGCCTCCGTGGACAGCGGTAGCGGTAGCAGAGGAGCGCCCAACGAGGCGTCCGTGACCATCGTCGACGATGAAAAAGGTGCGTTAATAATATTATTATGTCATAAATTATGTTATAAAGACATACGTTTTAAACCGACTTACGATTAGAATAGTGTACTCCAAAGTTCGATAATAACCGTATCAATTCAATGGTACATATTTTAGTAATCGTTTACTTGATTTTTGTCGTGCACCCTCTGACCACAATATAAATATTAACGTTTACAGCCTTTTAATTGGGTAACCCAATGATAATATACAAGATAGTAATAATACATTAAAAATACAAAAATAGGTATATATTGACATCATCGAAGCTGTGCGCTTCGCGATTGTACTGTTAATATTTTTACAAATAATATAATTATTATTATAATATAGACTGTTATACTATCCGTTTAATGCTGTAATTTCATCCCTCAACGGTTATTTCTATCGTATAAAACCTTCAACGATATTATTTACCTGTAGTTCATCATTTTTCATACAATTATCATGTTATATTTTTATTGTTATGATATGCGTTATTAAAACAGTAGCGACATTTTATTTATCATTTATTTTATAAAAATATTTAATTGATTTTTAACAGCTTTATTTATAAAATAAGTAAAATTGTACAACTGTTTTCATCTATATAATGGCTTTATTTTAATTGCACTTTAATCTCATTAGTAATTATGATTAATATTCGGATTAATATAATTTTGTTTATGGACAATAAAATATTTTTAAAATTATAAAAATATATGGATCTTCTTTATTAATAATTATTTTAATTCTAAAAATTAAGATATTTTTATATTAGTTCGAAAATAAAAATTTTTTGAAAACAACAATGTAATTATTATTTTCTTCTAAATACGAATTTTTCTGTGAAAGTTAAAATACCTCGATTCTGCGTAAAACGTATTTTAGAAATAACAACCTATATTATCATTTTGGACGTTACTCGTAATTCAACGACAAGGTGTCGACGTTTAATGCTCAAAGTTTTTCGCACCGAGTACAGGTCTGGTGAAAATTTTGTTGAAGAAATAGCCTGACTTCTGATTACTTTTTAAAACCACCAGCTGGCATAAGGGTTATTATTAAGGTTTCATTTTTCGTATGTGTCTGTTGATTAAACATTGTTAGAAAAATAAATAATTGAAAATTATGAAAATGTCATAAATAATAAAACGTATAACTTTAAAGATAATTTATAACAAAAAAAAAAAAAAAAACATTTGGAAACAGAACAACAGTTGAAATAAATTTCTAAAAATTTAAATTTTATAAAAAAAAACAATGAAGAATATAAAAATGAAAAAGTAAATTGTATTTGAAAGAATTATGTGGTCTGGGGTGTATCGATATTCGTTAACTACAAAGTGTAAAGTTATGATGTAAATCAAATTTAAGATAAAAAAAAAAAAAAAAAAAACTAAAAAATATCACTGCAGAAATAGCCATCGTGTATCTTATAAACATACACATACGTGTATTATCTGATATTATTTTTATCTCACGGGTGAGAAACTTTCTTGTGATGTGGTCCACCCTGAGGTTTAAAATATGCGTATATAATATTTAATATTCATGTATAAAAGTTTTTGAAAAATGTGGTTTTATTCTTCATTTGACTCAGAACTGACAAAATGCAAAATGTTTTATGTTGAAACTTTACATTAAAATATAGGTGACAGAATTGTGAGAAAAATAAATGAAAATAAATTAATTTTAATTGTATAGTTTGTATATAGAAAAATTAATATGCAAGTAGAATTATATTTTATAAATAACATAAACGTAGATATAGCAAGAAACCAGCAATAAATAATTATCTTATAGTAAAAATAGTTTTATGAATTTGTAAAACAATGATTTATGAGATTCGTTGTTTTAAATGTCGGTCAGTTCAAAAATTAATGATACTATATATCTTATATCCATATACCTATATCACATATTATATAAGGTGATAACTGATAAAGAATAATTGTACTAAAAAAAGTTGATTTATTTTTAAATTCTTATTTAAAACAACATTTTATAATAGTAGGTATAATAATATAAGATTGTATACAAACCTGGGAATTCGTTCTTTGATAATGTATATCGATCTTAAGTAGGCCATTAATGAATGTTTTTAAATTTAAATTCAATGATACATACAAAAATATGAATCTTACACGTAAAACGATTATGGGTGCAGATGGTGTATCAGCTTCTAACTTAAGGCTATTTTAAATATATTTAAGATTATTATGATTACAAGTAATTTTTTTTTTACTGATTATATAGTTTTTAAACTTAGTTTAACTTTCTTTTAATACATAAAATGTAAATTGTATATTATTAAATAATATTTTTATTTATTTATAAATTAAAATTTATGTTCAGTCAATACTCTGACTTATCATTGAATTCTATAAGCTTATAATTAGTCTTAATATTTAAAACAAATTATTGCTCATATAAAATAATAATAATATACATAACGTAAACAATTTTAAAAAGTCTCTGCAGTTAATAATTTTTAAATTGCCAAAAAAAAAAAAAAAAAAAAAAAAAAATGGGTATTGTCAAAAACTAGCATTGTACGTTCCTATTTAACTATAACATTAGATGGATAGTAGAAGTATTATATTAAGTACAATAAACATCCATCGAAGCGATTACAATCTAAAATAAAAAATTATAAGGTGATACATTTAAGTGTTTAAACTCATTATTTTAAAAAGTTCTAACTTTGCTGAAAGTTTTTATTTGATGTAATCAAAAAACAACATTTTGAGTAGAAGGAAACATCAAAAAATTTTTGTCAATAGTTTGATCATCTTAATTTAAAATACTTTTACTACCAATAAATTAATCTTTTAAAACTCGATTTTTATAAACTGAAAAGTTCTCAAAAAAATATTCTGCTTTGAAATATGAAATTAAAAGTGTATAATTTTCATTTAACAAAGAAAAAAAATGTGATGTTGGAAACTAAAGATTATTTTTTTTGTAATGATATAAAGTTATATAAGAATAATGTTTTTAATTTTACTTAAAGTTTTGGAAGTCGTGAATATAGAAATTTAAATAAATTACCTCGAGCAATAATTTTATACATAGGCTTAGTATGCAACACAGTTATTTGAAACCTAGAAATTCATTATATGTTTTTCATGTAATTGATAGAAAAATCGCTTTATATTTTTAAAATGGTATTTGGATAAAAACTTATAATAAGCAAGTATACAATTTTAATTCTGGAATAAAAATATTTGAACTTGTAATTATTTTAATCATAATGTTGATATAGTGTTTGATCACAATCTATTTGTAAATGTATTTTTGTTTAATTAGAATTTTCTGTGTTAAAAGACAATTTTTAAATATTATAAATATTAGAATGTTGAAAAATTCGATTTGTAGAACGGCGTATTGAGTATGCAATTTAGTGTCTTCGATGTAAATGTACATTATTTAATAATATTATATAGGCACATACTACCTTTAGTATTCAATATTATTCTGTTATTATTTCAAAAAGCTTTTAATATTATGTTGATACTTTAATTAAATTGTTATTGTAATAACTTGTATTTGTGACGATACTGCAGTTAGTTAAATAATAATATTAAATTTTCACTATACTTACACTAAACTATTTATATCAAAATAATATTCTTAAAGGCAAAATAAAATAATATAATCACATTCGTTGTTCTAAATAAAATATTTTTGTATAATATTATGGAGTTTTTTGTTTTATTTAGTAAACAATAAAAATTCAATTTATTAAATATTTTAAACGAAATCATAAAATAAACTATATCTAAACTGACAAATACTTATTTTCTCAAAACAATTAACTTTTATATAGACTTCTATATATCGTGGGTATTATTATTTACAAATTTATAAATTAATACAATTTATAAATTTAACATAAATAAAAGTAAATTGATACACATAAGAAGATAATATGTATTGCACAAATACATTAAATTCTAAAAATTATAAATCAATTATACAATTAGCTAGTATACTTTAGAATATTCTAATTTTATAAACTAATTATGGCAATAATAATTTTTTATACTATTTTAACATTCATTATATTCACCTAATTTTTTATTCTTTATTCATTCTCTTAATTTTTTCCATTTATAAAATATACATTTTCTACCGATCATTGCAAGTTAAATAATGATTCTGTTAAAGAAATAATAGTATCTTTAGGCTAAAATCCAGTACAAAATATTCACTTTTGTTAAATATTTTTTTTATTCTTGACATGATAAGTATCTTTAAACATTCTAAAAAATTTATATTCATTTTAAGTTTACACTACAAAGAAGGTTTAAAGTTTTACTTGTATTGATTTATTATTGATAAATAAATAATTTGATGGTAAAATATAATGTTAATATTAGAACTTAAATACATTGGCATTTAAAAAACTAAGTAGGTAGTGAGTATTTTAATTCTCATTTATTTTTTTTTTTATTTTAATTGAAAACAAATATAGAGATTATTTGTTTTGAAAATACTTTATTTTAATGCATGTCTAAAAACTTAGAATACGATTAAAGATGAACGTAAATCAATTTAAAATAAAAAATTTATGTAAACAAGACATTTGATATAATTTTTCTTAAAATTTAAATTAATTTTAAAATAATAGCCAAATAATAATTAGGCTAATCTTACTTTGTTGTTATGTTCATTTTAAAACTTGTTTTGTTTAATGTATTAATTTACTGCTAAAATGTATAAACATACATACATAGAATCACTTGTTCCTTTATTATCTGTAAAAGTTACTGCCTATTTAAATTCGGAATTTAAAAATGATTTTTTGTATTTTGTTTACACTGTATCCAGACAAAAAACATAGTACGAGTACATTAGTAAGTTCCAAATGAATAACAACACTATAGGTGAATAAATATAATATAGGTACTTATAAAAGAAAATAACTCTACGATTTAATGAGTTTTATGACATGTTTGATATTTTACAAAGTGAAAAATGTTCATAAATTGCAATTAAAATTAT